TAAGTTTCTATAGACGTTTCATACCCAAATGCGCATTACTTATGAAACCTCTTACCGATCAACTTCGTGGAAATTCGAAATTCATTAATTTGGACGACACCGCACGAAAATCTTTCTCCACAACTAAGGAACTCATTGCTAAAGCAACAATGCGTGCATATCAGGACACTGAAGCACCCATTAGCATCGCAGTAGACGCATCCGACTCGGCAATCGGAAGAGTCTTACAACAATGGGTAACCACTCCTGACAACCATTGGTATTTTTCTCTAGACGGTCGCTAGACACCGAATCGAGGTACAGCACATTCAGTAGGGAACTCCTAGCTATTTATTGGGCTGTACGACATTTTCAACACTACATCGAAGGTCTTGAATTCACTCTTTTCACTGACCATAAACCGCTCACTTTCTCGTTAAACTCTCCTCCAAACAAGTACTCTCCCCGTGAGTCTCGACAACTGGACTACATTTCGCAGTTTACTTCAGATATTCAACACATCTCTGGAGCAAACAATGTAGTTGCAGACGCCTTACCGCGCATAACTTCCTTGAACAGTTTCCAAGGAATCGACCTTCTTAAACTCGCCGAGCTTCAAAAAGAAGACAGTGATCTTCAGCACGAGTTATCGTCCACAACACTTAAACTACGCATCAAACAGATGGGAACAGGTAAGCAAACCTTACTGTGTGACACATCTACAGGTAGGGATCGCCCAAACGTGCCGAAACATTATCGACGCAATGTCTTCAATACATTGCACAAACTTTCTCATCCAGGTGTCCGTGCAACCATCAAGCTTATAGCAGGACGGTTTTGCTAGTCTGGCATGAATAAAGACGTGAGGGAGTGGGCACGCTCCTGTGTAAGCTGCCAAAAATCTAAGGTTATCAGACACAATAAATGTCCCTTAGGCTCTTCTAAAACTCCCGATGCTCGTTTCGACCATGTTCATTTGGATTTGGTAGGACCTTTACCAGATTCAAATGAATACTCTTATCTCTTAACCTGCGTAGACCGTTTCACTCGATGGCCAGAAGCAGTACCTATCAAGGACATCACTGCTGAAACAGTGGCTCGCGCCTTCGTCGAACGATGGGTAGCAAATTTTGGCTGCCCTTCAACCATCACCACAGACCGCGGACGTTAGTTTGAGTCTGAACTTTTCCGTCGTCTGACCACACTTTTAGGAACCACTCTCTTCCGAACAACTGCCTACCACTCACAAGCAAACGGGTTGATAGAACGCTTTCGCCGACAACTAAAAGCTCCACTATCAGCTGCAAACGTTTCACAGTGGACGGACGCTCTTCCACTCGTCTTACTAGGTATCCGCAATGCAGTGAAAGCTGACACTGGATACACTGCGGCTCAACTCGTTTATGGAACGACACTTCGACTTCCAGGAGAATTCGTGGATCCTTCGCCCCCTTCAATGAACATGGATCTAACCTCCTACACGAACAGGCTTGCAAACGCAATGCGTTTATTTAGACCTGTTTCCACTCGACCGCAGACAACTGATGTTTTCGTTCAACCTGACTTACGATATAGTGCACACGTTTTCATTCGTCAAGACTCGCATCGACACACTTTCGAATCAGCATACGAAGAACCTTTCAAAGTTCTTCAACGCGAACCCAAGTACTTTATGTCCGATAAGAACGGAACCAGAGATAGCATCAGCATCGATCGCCTCAAAGCAGCGTATTTAGAAAGAAATCCTATCTACGTCGATTTTCCTTCGGTACAATCGAACAACACGACTCCACTCATAATTCCTCAGTCGACAACCAACACACGCGATGATACTCCGAATGTATCTGAAAATAAACTTAAAACGACGCGTTCTGGAAGAAGAATTAGATTTCCAGAACATGTAAACGACTATTGCACGTAAGGCACTACTAGACATTTATTATTATATCGATCTTTCTTTTTACGATATATAATATATTTTTAAAAGCAAACAATTTTAATATGCATATATATTTTTATTTCAAAAAAAAACAAAAAAAACAAATTTTTTTAACGATATTACTTGTAAATTAGATTACATTCCAATTTTTTTCGCCGACATTGTGTTTTTACGCACATACGAATGTATTTCGACATGCACTTACATTTTCTTTTTTCTTTTTCAGGACGGCTGGAAAACAACGATGACATTTATGAGGAGTTGAAATTTTCATTGTACATTTTCTTTTTTCACTATGTTGTACCTCGGTCCCATATAGTAAGGAAAGACGACCAGACGCTGCTACACTTAGTAAGCTATCAGAAGAGTGTTTACCTACGACAAACTCGTTGGGTTTAAACTTCTGGCTGGCTACGTCTTAGGGTCGTCACTGCCCCATTAGGGGGGGTGATCTGTAGCGGCAAATAAATCCCTAAAATAAATAGCTCTGTAAGTTTTCGACATTGGATACTGACCACATGTTTTAGTGGACTCATCTAGCTGAAGGCGCTCGGTCAGGCATCCGCACCAGATCACGTGTGGTAACGCTGTGCTCAACATCTATCGCAATCGCTAGCCAGATTAGATCAGAGAATTCCGATATATTGGTAATCGCCATATACATTTTTCCGATCTCCTCGACTCTGTCTTTTGATTTCTCTCGGTGAATACAAATTATATTAGAAGATGTTGCTGGTAAAAGCGTTGTCAAACACTGAATACTTGCGTCCTTTTTAGCTTAAACCTTCCTAATAGTGTAGTTTGTACAGGAGGATGACTTAAAGAATTTCCGGATGTGGAAAATAATGTGAACAAACGACTTATGGCTCAACGATAAATGCGTTTAATACTGACTACTGTCACATCTATTTTTTAATGAATATTCAAGTATAAATATAACAACTGTACTCAGTCGTTAAATTTTTTCCGCAAAAACGTACTTCAAGCAAAGGTATCGCTGCGTTTCACTTCCCATAACGGTTTGGTAAAAGTGTAGTGGTATTGGTTTTAACCACACAATCCTCAAAGCTGAACATGAGATAAATGGAAAGTTCATATTAAACAATTAACTCGAAGAGAAATTCAACAACGGATAAGGCGGGAACAATTAATCGAAATGAATTGAAAGGCATGGCTCAGCCTTACAGACGTAGTCAACTTATCTTCTTTATTCATATTAAATATATTTTTCTAACTTCAACCTGTGTTCTTTAGAAACGCTAAACATTATATCGCTGATTACTTCGATATGAAGAGTCACAATGGACAGTGATGTGACTTTTACATAAGATGTTATAGATTATGTAGTCACATCATGACATATCCACAATTTTTGGATTAAGTCTAGTATTATAGCGGTACTAATAACGAAATAAACCGTAATTCTACAAACGTTCGTATTCGTTTGAACTATAAATTTTACTAGTATTCATCCGAACATATCACGGGAAAGAAATTTATGTATATACGACTCAAAGTTTTAGCGAAACTACTAAACTACTGTTGTATTTACAGGTTCTCACAACTGAACGGGAAATTACAATGCGGGCACCTAGTTAATCCTAATTTTCACGAACAGTTACAACTTAAAATCATCGGTATACCTTCCCATGAAACTATGGCGAAGACGAAAATAAAATTCGGCAAAGGTTTACTGTTACATCATTGCTACTGTTAGAGGAAGAATAACATTTGATAAAGAAAAATAACTCAACAAATTGCATGAAGAGTTAAGTCGAAAATACACTCATGAAGTTCTTATGGTTAATAATTCCAGTCACGTAAATATTCATATTCCAAGCCATGTTTTTATCCCAAAGAAAACTACAAAAATATACAGGTTAAAAAACCGGATTCTTATTTAGTTATTGATGATTCTTAAGTAAATATTGTCGACTTTTCTCTCCACTAGGATTGGTAAGCGCCCACCATATTTATTCACTCTGTTGCCCGTGCACTTTTTTGGCTTCGTTTAATTCGCCCATGCTGTTCGCTTCGCCTGGGTAATGAAATTATTGTGTTATTATGGAAAGAATTGAGTTAAACTTATAAGTGCACTTAGCTCTGGTGAGCTAAGCTTTCTTAGTATCCACATCAGCAGCAGTGACCTGCTTACCAGTTTTGTCCTGAATACTTTCTACCATTTCACTTATTGATGGTTATTGCAGAATCACCGGATTCAAGTGCTCTTCATCTTCTGAGGACAATCTTCTGGCATACAGATCAAAAATCATCTATGAGCTACTACTATGATGATTGTAAAGCATCTTGAATAACTTAGTGACATTCTTCACCGTCCAGAGTTACATGGAGCATTGACTGGCAGTTCAGAAACATAGAACTTTAGCGTCACATGTTAGTTGAAATCCTCATGGTTTTCGATTCACTATTGGACCTTGTGATTTACGCTCAAACATCACAAACATGTATTTAAACCCCATGTCTTTCGGCAATTTGCATTAGATATGAACGTAATAAGTATGAGTAATCTGAGAAGAGATAAAATTATTGTTTCCTAATTTTAAAAGTTCATTTAGAAAAAGTACTACAGCAATTAAAACAAACCCCGCCTGACTAGAACTGTTAGGTTATTCCTAATACTCTGTTTTCTGGATTTTATTAACTTTCAAAGGAAGAATGGGATGTTTAGTCGAGTAATTAGCATCCCACATCAAGTTAAAAAGCAGCATTTAAGCCGACGTGTACACTATAAAGCAGAGCAAGCCAAATCAGTGTTTTTCGCGATGATTTTATGATTTTACTGGATGAAAAGACTACTTGAATATGAATCAAGTTCAAGACGTTCTCCGAAATTTAAAAGTTTATGAGAAAAAAATCACCAGTGTGAATTAAAAATAAATAAGTTTCTAGTGGTGGTCAGTGGATATATGGACTGGGTGCTTCCGAAAGAATAATGAACTAACCAAGAGAATTTCGTCTCAAAGATCAACAGAAACTTCACACTCTTTTATTCTCAATGAATAGGATTGAATTTCAAGGACAAGCATTTTAAGTACACTATCAAAGTCACTCAAACGACCTTGCCAAATATGTGCAACTTTTAAGGCTCCCTGACCATGGGCCAATAGAATGTCAACATGTCCGCAACAAATATCAACAATTTAAATTTCAACTTACTACTTGATGAGATTGAATCGGGTAGCAGTGGCTCGTTAGCAAATGTTATTCGCAAGCTACGAGAGAGTGAGTTGGCAGCTTTCAAAGCTCGCATAGGAGGTCCAACAGGTGAACTACTAGCTAGTTTCATAGCATCTCTTGATCTGCGCGCATCAGAGCATAATGCAGAAATAGAAAAGACGTGCAGCTATCACTACCAAAGTTTCGTTGATTCCACACGTGAATTACTTGAAATCCAGCAAAATGCAGAGAAGCTTGAAAACGATTTACAAGCACTAAATGTGGAGCTGGAAGTTACAGTTAATAAGGTTAGACTCATTTTTTATAAATAACTTGGCCATTCCAATAATTCATGTCCGAATTTTTCCTTTCAGCCGTAGCTAACGTTGTTTTGCCTAAACTCTGAGGGAGTTTTTTGATTTTCAGCTATGCACATAAAATCGACATAATCTATCGTAGCACCGATATATATATATATATATATATATATATATATATATATATATATATATGACCTGGTTTATTGAGCTGGAGACTTATAAGCAAGACATTCCTGTGAGGTATTTCTAAAATCCTTGAATCTCTAGATCGTCAGATTTTTCACTAGACCAACTTTTGGTGTCCACGAGTAAAGGCTACCAATGTTTTCAGCTAAAGGCTTAAGTACGTAAAGACAATGTCTGAGCCAAAGGGAAAAATTTGACGTGAGAGTCCAAGAAAATCTGGAGCTAAATAAGTGTCCTTATGAGAGGAGTTTTTCATGAATTTAAATATTGTACACAATACAATCGGTTATACACACATGCCAGTTTGTGGATATTCCTCATCTATTTTGTTGGGCTTAAACTTCAGCGAGTGCTTTGGTGACTCCGATTAGGTCGAATTTTGTCTCTTATCCGTATAATAAAATCTAAGGATGTTATGTAACAGAGTCGGTCAGGGGAGTGTAGCAAATCACATATGGCAGCATCTAAGTGTTTATTTTAAAGATAAAAAAATTTAGATCATGCTTCTAGCTGTGGTTTTAAAAATTTAGAAATCTAACGGGGGTGCTTACGAAGTTGAGAAGACGAAAAGCAAACGTCCGGTGCCCTAACCGGGTTGGTGGACACGGAGAGTCCGCCAAGGGGAGTTGTAAAACTCCGATTCCAAGCCAATGGTGGACATGGGCTCCAGGATCCTGAAGGAACAAAAGGCGTATGAACCCGGGCACCCAGGCAGTATTTCAGCTCTCACATAAATCGAATGATGTATGCAGCGCATATGCTTGATGCCTCCGTGTACCAATATTTATGTGTTCAAATAAATAAAATATCCTACGATATCAAAAAGTTATCACTGTGATGTCGTGGCTCCCACTTTATTTACTGTCAGGGAAGCTAAATTTTTATGGATTCAAATCCATAGTGAAGATATATTGCTTGATTTGGGGGAAACCATTATTATTTTTATCGTATAATTATAACGAGAAATATTAGTGAATGGCTTTTTGTAAATAATATCAGTCGCACTGTTGCACGAATTGTTGTGAGATATTTCAGGAACTCTCGATCGTACAGCTGTTGAGTATGAAATTAATAAGATGTAGGAGGGTGATATACAATCAAGTTCATCTGAATTATACTCTCCTCTCGTTAAGTAATAATAGTCGGTCCTTAACCGTAAATCTATAAGAAAGTAACACATCTATTTACGTATAGTTGTTCTCACCACTTAATTCTCACAACTCTATTTTTGATTGATTAATTTTAAGGATTCATGAAAAAGCCTTTATTGTTTATTTAAAACATTCGAAACAGTGGCTGGTGTCAGAGAACCTAATAATTTGTGTTTTTTAGGTTGTCTTCTCCAATTTTTAATAGTAAGCAGTCAACTAGATGAGTAATCAGTCTTGATCTATTTTGGTCCAACTGAAATAGATTTTTTCGTGTTTTTTATGTGCCGATTATAATTACTGGTAGTTAAAATGTGTGGGATTTCATAGGATAGCCATAATATGTGGTTAGCAAATTTAAGTGATGCAAATCTAAATCTGTCAATGTCGTCCAAATACATCAATTCATTCTCTGTATTCAAGTCTCCGCATCAATGTCCGTTTTGACCGTGTGCAGTGATGTAGTCGAGTACATTAACCAGTCCATTTACCATTTATTAATATTTTGCGAATTATGTCGAGGATTTTATCACTTAACACTTTTCATTCATCGATTTCACTCTTTCGGACTTCGTTTATCGACTTATTCATGTCAGTTCTAATTCCCTTTTGTTTTTTCTGCTTGTTTCATTTTACATTGTTGATGGAAATAGTGGTAACACTTACCAGTGTACATCCATTAGTCGTAGAGTCTGGCACAAATGTGCCTCCGTCCTGATTTTTAATATCAGGGACATATAGGAGGCTATTTGAAATAGATGTATCGCTAATAATAGTGAGAAAAGCTAAACATTAGGGAGTGTAGTTACACATTTGTATCAGGTCCTAGGTTGTTCACGATCGCCTCATTTAGATCGTAATCCTTTATAATAGTTTTGATTACCTGACGTTTATGAACTTGACACAGTTCCTCATACCTTGAACTTTCCTTGCTTTATTAAATGATTGTTTTCTTGTTGTGAAATATGCTTTATAGGTTTTCAAAAAGCTCCTAATTTCGATGTCGTCAAATACAAGTCTTAGCCAATAAAATTTTAGGAACGTATAAAAAACAATCCACTAGATGTCAAGCTTGAAACAGATCTTACTAATTGGAAATAATTAGTTCTCATAACAAAAGTTAGCGATTTATGGTTACGATAGGGTTGTCCTTCCTTTTCGAAGTGTAGTTTATTAGCACGTAATTATTTAAAGATGTAATCCCTTCAAATGCACCTTTATGACGGAATGTAGCCATATGTTTCATATATATTGTGATTATTTATTTATTTATTTATTTATTTGAACACATAAATATTGGTACAAGAGAGCGCCAATATATATGCGCCACACAAAACAATCGGAATTCGAAGAGAAGTAGAAAGAAAAAAAACTAAGGAACGCAAAAGAAAAAGAGAGTAATGACGAAAAGGTACAATCAGAAGAAATCTTTCAGGTAAAGGAGACCCAACCACTTTTTATGAAGAAAGTAAAAGAAGGTTACAGCAGGATCGCCACTGGCTTCTATTCTGAGCCATATCTGATAACGTCTCTAGCCACTGTGTAGCACCATCTCTCGGACCCCAGCCAGGGAGTCGTGAAGGACCAACACAAGCCAGTCCTTTGCAGCTTTCTTTCATGCCACGACACCATGTCATGCACTGACCACCTCTCCGCTTCTTCCAACTAGTCCCAGAGTCGGCAAATAATGCACGACGTGGAATTCTCTGGGACGACATTCGTAGAACATGTCCAAACCACCGAAGTCGGTGTTTCAAGATGGTGACACCAATTGCATTATCATCTCTGTGCCCGAACACACGATGCCGAACCTCTGCATTACTGACATGGTGTTGCCACTGAATGTCAGCAATCCTTCGGAGACAGCGATGATCGAACACAGAGAGTCGTCTAACGTCCTCAACTCGGAGAGGCCAGGTTTCACAAGCATAGAGCAAAACTGCTCTCACCGACGCGTTGTAGATCCGGCCTTTTACAGCCAGACTAACATCACGAAGGCGCCAAAGGTGACCCAGATTGGCATAAGCCGCTCTGGCTTTCACTATTCGTGCATTGATCTCATCACTCACACCCCCACCAGCACTTATGATGCTACCCAGATACACGAACTTCTCAACTACGTCTATCTGTTCACCGTCCAGGGTGAGTACAGGATTGGAATCCTGCCAGTCTTGTAGAAGTACTTTGCACTTCGAAGGTGCAAAGCACATACCATACCTACGGACACTGATTGCCAACTGATTAAGTGCGGATTGCATGCCTTGGGCATTATCGCACAGTAAGACAATATCGTCCGCATACTCAAGGTCGAGAAGTCTTTCTCCAGGCAACAGATCCACACCACCATTACTTACATCCATCAGAGCTGTTTCCAGAATGTCATCGATGGCAAAGTTGAAGAGGAATGGTGAGATTGGGCAACCCTGCCTAACCCCACTACTCGAATGGAACAATGGAGAGAGGTGGTTGTATGCCCTCACTCTGCCTGAGGTGTTTTTATACAGGGCTTTTAGGATGTTAATAAACTTCTCAGGCACACCCTTCTTCAATAGACAATCCCAGAGAACAGTCCTATCCAACGAATCGAAGGCAGCCCTGATGTCAAGAAACACTACGATTGTTGGCCTTTGAAAAGTATGGCGGTGTTCTAACATTTGGCGGAGGGTGAAGATATGATCAATACATCCTCGACCAGAACGAAACCCGGCCTGCTCCTCGCGAGTCAATCTTTCTCGGGTTTTGAACAACCTACGAAGAATGACGGAAGCCAATAGCTTGGACGCAATCGGAAGTAAACTTATCCCCCGATAGTTGTTACAGGAACGACGTGAACCCTTTTTAAAGATAGGGACAACTATCGACTCATTCCATGACGCTGGAACACTCTCTAACACCCAAACCTTTGTAAACAACGTCGTCAATTCCTTAGTCAAAAAGTCACCACCATCTTTAAAAAGAGCCGGAGGTAAGTCATCTGGGCCAGGTGATTTGTAACGCTTCAAGAGTTGGAGTTCCTTGCTGACTTCCTCCTCATTTGGTGGATCAGTCGTCACCGGCCATGGAGGGCAGGACAGTCTGACCGATGTTGCCGGAGCAGCAGGCCAGTTGAACTGCCCTTCGAAAAATTCTGCCCATCGTCCAAGACGTCGATGGATGTTAGTGATTGGCATCCCATCATCCTCGCAGATTGTTTCACTCACACCAGACTTCTTGCTGCCAGTGGCTCGGATGAGCTGGAAGAGCTTCCGGTAGTTACCAGATGCAGCTGCTGCTTCCAGCTCATTAGCACGCATCGACCACCAGGCTTCTCGGTCCTTGCGCAAGCTTTGCCCAATTTCCTTACGTAACATCCTTCGTTTGTGATCAAACTCGCGGTCACCCGGAGTAGACCGACGGGCTTCAATGAGTTGTAAGGAACTAGAAGAAACCCAGTGCTTAAAAGCGGGACGTTTCGCAAACCCACAACTGACTGTTCCCGCCATTTTCATGGCGTCACGCAATTGCAACCAATGCTCATCTATACTTTTCGGTGGAGTGGTAGCTAGCCTAGAGGCTAGCTCGGTTCGATACTTACTTGCAACAGAAGTTGCAACCAGCTTGCTAACATCAATCCGTTGATGGCGTTCACTTTGTTGTCCACTGAAAAGTAAGGCAAGATTGGCGCAGACCAAGGCATGTTCAGAGTCCAGATAGGTACTCCAAAAGGAGCGGCAGTCTTGTACACAACCACGCCAGCGGTAGCTGATCGCGATGTGATCAATCTGAGTCCAGGCTTGAGATGCAGAGGGAGGACGCCAGGTGGCACATCGGCGATGACTGTGCCGAAAGTTAGTGCTAGCCAGAAACAGGTTGTGGTCTGTGCAAAGTTGCAGTAGACGGTCCCCGTTATCTGACCTGCGACCAACGAGTCCCCATCGGCCACCTAAACGACTCTCTTCTGTGCCTAGACGCCCGACCTGTGATTGATGGTTCACATAAACGGAGATTGTAAATAAAGCTAAATATCTATGAGATATCTGGTCCTGTAAGTAAACTATGGGAAACTGCAATCTAGTATTCGTCAAAGAAATCGATTTTTTACCTATAATCAGAGTGAGTGGCAGGATATTTCGAAGTGACAGGTCTCAAGTTCAAGCCTCAGTAAGAAGATCAATAATGATTATCAGTAAACTCATTTGGTGATTTTAGATGCATCCTAGATTTTGTTGCGGGTTACAAAATATAACTAAAGTTTTTATTGTCACTCATGATATCTATTTATTTCCCAAATTACCTACTTTTTTACTGTTTTCATTTTTTCTTTCGATTTTCTTATTATATGCCCTGTAGCATCATTGTTGAAATTGATACGCTTGCATTCTTTAACCTCTCTGTTTTGGTTTGTCTTGACGTCTATTGATGCAGTGTGACTTTGCATGAACTAATCTCCCATTCTAGCCTCGTACGCTGATCTATGTTTTGTTTAAAATTTTTTTAACGAAATAAAAACTATAATGTATTAAGGTTTATTTTAAGAAATATCGATGAAATGCATCTAACTAAAATTATGAATGTTTTCTAGGCTAGGTGAAAATGACGTTAAATTTACACCTTCCTAAGTTACGGAAAGTTCATTTGGTTTTTTTTCAAAATACAAGGTCAGTTTTAGATAAAAGGGAAACTAATCTGTTATTAGGCATCTTATTGTGATGGAGTCACATGGCCAGATTACCAAGTTTTTAGGGATTCTGAAAATATCAGATGAATTTTATTCTTTAAGCTCGTTTAAAGCAATAATCCAACTTCTGTATTTTATCCATTATAACAATTCATATGACACTTTATGATAAAATTTATAAACCTGCTATGCGGTATGTTGTTGTTTATCTGCGGAAATTCGGTGTTTTTTATTTTTAGTTTAGTGAATCGTGTGACAAATTAGCCGCCTGTAAACTCACTTTGGATCATGTCAATCAATGCATTGAGGCAATTCAAATCAGTCTTCCGATATTAGAACAATACTCTCGCATTGAGCAAAGTATTGCTGACGGAAGGTACTATCATGCCTTGAAAAATCTTGAAGACCTAGAGCATTCTCAACTGGATCTAATTCGCCCGTTCGCCTTTTCTGAAATCATCATTCATCGCATACCGAAAACAAGAACGAGAATCAAGGTTTGTCTGGCCAGTATATTGATTTTAGCGTTTTGCTTTAAAACCCTTGGTAATTCTTGTTATTATTGATGACAAAGCATTTTATAAAAAATGTACATTGACTTTGTTTTGTAATACACATATATATATGAAGGAAGAATATTCCTTTCAGTGAATTCTCTTCAGGTAATTTGCAATTATATATGAAAAATAATAATCCAATCCGTGGCCAGGTTTAAGGAAAAATATATCGTTTAAAAATTGTAGTATGTGAATTTAGAATGTTAAAGTACATGAAAATCGTTAATGTTGGGATGACTATCATGAAGTGTTACCCTGAATAAGTTTTTAATTTAAATGAAATCTTAAGATAAGTAATCAGAATAAATATGGTTCACACAGGAGAAGAGGGATTGTAATGTCATTACAAATCAGAAATCATGTAATATATAGAATTATATGAATTAAGTACGAATTAGTTAATAAGAATGGATGTTGAATAAATTTCTCAAAGCGTTTGCAAGTGTTTTAATAACAATGATAATAGTGACGATAATAATTGTGATAATATATATGATTAAGCTATGAAAATGCGAAAAAGAGGGTTTTATGAACAGTGAATACAATGTTGTTATCAACTTATTGCGTTGAAGGCAGTCAATGAGTTCCTGAAATAAAGCGAAAAAATAACGTAAACGAAAACATCTTTTGGATTTATAGGGAACTGTATTGAATCATGTCATTATCCGGAACTTTATTTTTTCTTTATTGTAGAGACGCTCAATGTTGTATACGTTTACTATCCACCCTGATATGTTTTATTATTTAGTAAATATTTGTTTGCTTTTAATTTTTCTTCTCCAGATATCACTAGTTGATATCATATGATCACATTTTGATTTAGCATGGAGTGGGAATTCATTGGTAGTAGAATTTCACAGTGGCAGTTCATTTTCCATCTAAGCTACATAGTATAATTTCAGAAGTCTTAGTATCATTATCATAGACTTCAAAATAAGGTGCATAGCTATATCTTCTGAGGTTTATATATTTGAATATCAGGACAAATGTTTATATAATCTCTTGGTTTGATAAATATCATAGTTCGTTAATTCAATGTGAAAATTCATCCATGGAAACCTCTATGCCGTAATTCATCGTAAATATATTTTCTTTACTATTAGTAAATCTACAAAATATAAGTCATATAAAAATGCTTGTCATAATCATCTGTTGAATAGCACTGAAAACCTACTCTTCGGTAGCACTTCTAGTGAGACAAAAAGAACATTAGCTTTTCTAAAAATTTATTAAAAAACATTCACATTTAAACGTTTAGTTAAATAATAGTTGGAAAAGAGTAAAAACGAACGAAAATACTAGCCGTTAACAACAAAAGTGGAGTAAAAACTAAAATGAATTGTGTGTATGTTATTTATCCAAGCAGAAACACTTTAATTCACCGGGCTTATTCACTGGTGAAAACATTCGTCTACAGTTTTAAGGCCTATTCAAATACATTTGTTTGGACGGTGTTTATCAAATCAATAAGAATATATATATAACTCCGCCCGTAGCTCTTCTAGGGCTACTACCGGTCCCAATCCTAGGTAAAAAAGGAAGGTTGGGCATGGAGCTAGCAACGGCTTTCTGTACAAAACAAGTTTGCTAAAACAGAACGCTAACTAGAATAAACAAATTAAACCATTTAAACTCTGCCCTCCCAGTTGAAGAAAGAATTATGACGCCCCACGATGAAAGCCGAGATTCTTCGGAAGTTACGAGACTGATGCCTCTTCTAACGACCCGGGAAACAATTAACTGTGGTACGTGGAATGTTCGGACAATGTAGAAAACCGGGAGAACAAATCAGATAGCTATGGAATTGAGGAGATACAATTTGACGGTGCCCGGAATCAGTGAAACCCTTCGGACCCCACAAAACTACGTGGGTCTCACGGGACCACGCCACAGAGAACCAGATAGATCAACTCAACGAATTCGAGATAACTCATCGACAGGTTCCAAGCCTTACAAAATCTACTGAAAGAAAAAATTGCTATGAAAAATAACTAGAGAGGGATCAAAGAAGCATTAACTTCTTGTCAGGAGGTTCTGTGTCGCAAGAAGTGTAATAATAAAGAACGAGTCTCTATCGAAACTCTGTACAAGATTCAAGAAGAGTATGACAAGAAGACAACAACTAACAATAGCCGAACAAGAACAGAGAAAGACAAGGCACAAGCTGGATACACAGAAGCAAACAAGCAAGTGAAGAGTAGCATTAGAGCTGATTGGAAAAAAACACATGGAAGAACTAACAACGACGGCCAAAAAAGCTGCAAGAGAAGAAAATATGAAACAACCATATGATACAAAGAAGAAATTAGCAGGGAGATAAATTAAACCAGGGAGACCGGAAAGACGATCACGGAGATTCAAAAACAGAGGAACAGATGGGTAGAGTACTTCAAAGAACTGTTGAATAGACTAGCTCCATTGAATCCACCGGACATCGAAGCAGCACACACGGACATTCTTATACCGATCACTCCACCAACGATCGAAAACGTCAAGATGGTCATCAGACATGCCAGGAGTAGGAAAACAGAAGGACCTGACAGCATACCAGCTGAAGCACCGAAGTCAGATATAAAAGTAACTGCAAACATGCTCCGCATTCTACTCAAGATTTGGGAGGAGGAACATGTCGACAGACTGGAAAAAAGGATACCTCATGAAAATATCAAATGAAGGAGATCTGAGAAAATGAGGGAACTACAGAGGAATAAAACTACTATCGGTACCTGGAAAGGTTTTCAGTAGGCGTCCAGCTTCGAAATCGGTAGGTTGGATTCCGTAAGGCTCGGTCATGTAGAGATCAAATCGCTACAATACGGATCATTGTTGAACAATCAATTGAATGGAACTCGCCACTATACATCAACTTCTTTGACTATGAGGAAGAAATTAACAGTGTGGATAGGAGGACTTTATGGAACCTTGTCCGACACTATGGACTACTTGAAAAAATCGTCAACATCATCCGGAATTCATATGACAGATTACACTGCGACGTCGTGCATGGAGGACTGCAGACGGACTCACTCGAAGTGAGGACTGGAGTCATACAAGGCTATTTACTTTCACCGTTTTGTATTTCTTGTGGTGGTTGACTGGATTATGAAAACCTCGACATCTGTAGAGGGGGAAGAACACGGAATACAATGGACAGCTCATGATCAACTAGACGTTCTGAACTTCACAAATCACCTAGCTCTCCAATTCCATTCACATGAGCAAATTCAGGTGAAGACAATCACTGTAGTGGGAGACTCTGTAACAGTAAGCCTCAACATACACAAGGCAAAAATGTAAGATCCTCAAATACAACACGGTGAACACCAACCCAATCACAATTGATGGAGAAACTCTGGAAGAGGTGAACAGTTTCACGTACCTGCTTCGGTTTGGGCACCCGGGCAGTATCACAGCCCACACACAAATTGATGAACTCTTATGCCTATGGAAATTACCTTTCTCGCTTTGAAAAACAAACAATTGATTCAGATTATTATCATTACAATTATTGTCATTATTAATACTAATATTATTATTACTACTATTATTGTCATTATTGTTATTATTATCATTATTATTATTATTTTCCACATTATTCACCCTCTTTTATACCTATACAGCGGCTCGTCTTTGGTGGAAATCCGACTGTATCTAAACGTTCTCGAGTCACTGTCCGGTTGAAAATTGTATGTTACCACCGAATACGAGGACTGAAGCAGATTTTCTGAAACCACGTGCACCATTCAAACTGGCTGCCTCCAACGTTCGCACACTTATGCAGGTCGGACAACAGATAGGGCTGGCTATGTCTTTGGAAAGTCTTAATATCGACGTGTGTTGTCTATCCGAGACCCGTATTCAAGACTCTGGCGAAGTACTACAAATTCGATCTCCATCTGTCGCTTCGAAAAGCTTGTTTTACGTGCGCTTATCCGGGGACCCTGTGGCATCTTCGTCTGGTCTTGCTGGCGTTGGTGTCGCACTAAGCGATAGAGCTGAGGCAGCATTAATCGATTGGATCCCCATTAACAGTCGGTTATGTGCTGTTAGATTAGAAAGTTCCATCAAAGTGAGAAGAAATCGGCGTGAGAAACGATGTCTCCGCCTATGCCCCGACAGATTGCAGCCCGGATGCAATCAAGGATGAGTTTTACCACCAGTTATCAGTTCTTCTCCAGAAAGTGCGTTCGACAGATATTGTAGTACTAGCCGGAGACTTGAATGCTCAGGTCGGGCGTCTAGGCACAGAAGAGAGTCGTTTAGGTGGCCGATGGGGACTCGTTGGTCGCAGGACAGATAACGGGGACCGTCTACTGCAACTTTGCACAGACCACAACCTGTTTCTGGCTAGCACTAACTTTCGGCACAGTCATCGCCGATGTGCCACCTGGCGTCCTCCCTCTGCATCTCAAGCCTGGACTCAGATTGATCACATCGCGATCAGCTACCGCTGGCGTGGTTGTGTACAAGACTGCCGCTCCTTTTGGAGTACCTATCTGGACTCTGAACATGCCTTGGTCTGCGCCAATCTTGCCTTACTTTTCAGTGGACAACAAAGTGAACGCCATCAACGGATTGATGTTAGCAAGCTGGTTGCAACTTCTGTTGCAAGTAAGTATCGAACCGAGCTAGCCTCTAGGCTAGCTACCACTCCACCGAAAAGTATAGATGAGCATTGGTTGCAATTGCGTGACGCCATGAAAATGGCGGGAACAGTCAGTTGTGGGTTTGCGAAACGTCCCGCTTTTAAGCACTGGGTTTCTTCTAGTTCCTTACAACTCATTGAAGCCCGTCGGTCTACTCCGGGTGACCGCGAGTTTGATCACAAACGAAGGATGTTACGTAAGGAAATTGGGCAAAGCTTGCGCAAGGACCGAGAAGCCTGGTGGTCGATGCGTGCTAATGAGCTGGAAGCAGCAGCTGCATCTGGTAACTACCGGAAGCTCTTCCAGCTCATCCGAGCCACTGGCAGCAAGAAGTCTGGTGTGAGTGAAACAATCTGCGAGGATGATGGGATGCCAATCACTAACATCCATCGACGTCTTGGACGATGGGCAGAATTTTTCGAAGGGCAGTTCAACTGGCCTGCTGCTCCGGCAACATCGGTCAGACTGTCCTGCCCTCCATGGCCGGTGACGACTGATCCACCAAATGAGGAGGAAGTCAGCAAGGAACTCCAACTCTTGAAGCGTTACAAATCACCTGGCCCAGATGACTTACCTCCGGCTCTTTTTAAAGATGGTGGTGACTTTTTGACTAAGGAATTGACGACGTTGTTTACAAAGGTTTGGGTGTTAGAGAGTGTTCCAGCGTCATGGAATGAGTCGATAGTTGTCCCTATCTTTAAAAAGGGTTCACGTCGTTCCTGTAACAACTATCGGGGGATAAGTTTACTTCCGATTGCGTCCAAGCTATTGGCTTCCGTCATTCTTCGTAGGTTGTTCAAAACCCGAGAAAGATTGACTCGCGAGGAGCAGGCCGGGTTTCGTTCTGGTCGAGGATGTATTGATCATATCTTCACCCTCCGCCAAATGTTAGAACACCGCCATACTTTTCAAAGGCCAACAATCGTAGTGTTTCTTGACATCAGGGCTGCCTTCGATTCGTTGGATAGGACTGTTCTCTGGGATTGTCTATTGAAGAAGGGTGTGCCTGAGAAGTTTATTAACATCCTAAAAGCCCTGTATAAAAACACCTCAGGCAGAGTGAGGGCATACAACCACCTCTCTCCATTGTTCCATTCGAGTAGTGGGGTTAGGCAGGGTTGCCCAATCTCACCATTCCTCTTCAACTTTGCCATCGATGACATTCTGGAAACAGCTCTGATGGATGTAAGTAATGGTGGTGTGTATCTGTTGCCTGGAGAAAGACTTCTCGACCTTGAGTATGCGGACGATATTGTCTTACTGTGCGATAATGCCCAAGGCATGCAATCCGCACTTAATCAGTTGGCAATCAGTGTCCGTAGGTATGGTATGTGCTTTGCACCTTCGAAGTGCAAAGTACTTCTACAAGACTGGCAGGATTCCAATCCTGTACTCACCCTGGACGGTGAACAGATAGACGTAGTTGAGAAGTTCGTGTATCTGGGTAGCATCATAAGTGCTGGTGGGGGTGTGAGTGATGAGATCAATGCACGAATAGTGAAAGCCAGAGCGGCTTATGCCAATCTGGGTCACCTTTGGCGCCTTCGTGATGTTAGTCTGGCTGTAAAAGGCCGGATCTACAACGCGTCGGTGAGAGCAGTTTTGCTCTATGCTTGTGAAACCTGGCCTCTCCGAGTTGAGGACGTTAGACGACTCTCTGTGTTCGATCATCGCTGTCTCCGAAGGATTGCTGACATTCAGTGGCAACACCATGTCAGTAATGCAGAGGTTCGGCATCGTGTGTTCGGGCACAGAGATGATAATGCAATTGGTGTCACCATCTTGAAACACCGACTTCGGTGGTTTGGACATGTTCTACGAATGTCGTCCCAGAGAATTCCACGTCGTGCATTATTTGCCGACTCTGGGACTAGTTGGAAGAAGCGGAGAGGTGGTCAGTGCATGACATGGTGTCGTGGCATGAAAGAAAGCTGCAAAGGACTGGCTTGTGTTGGTCCTTCACGACTCCCTGGCTGGGGTCTGAGAGATGGTGCTACACAGTGGCTAGAGACGTTATCAGATATGGCTCAGAATAGAAGCCAGTGGCGATCCTGCTGTAACCTTCTTTTACTTTCTTCATAAAAAGTGGTAGTGTCTTCCCTAACTGAAAGATTTCTTCTGATTGTACCTTTTCGTTCCGTCGTTACTACCACACTACCTTACTCCAATCTCTTCGTCATTGTTCTATTTTTCTTTTGCGTTCCTTTGTTTTTTTTTCGCTTTCTACTTCTGTTCGAATTCCCATTGTTTTGTGTGGCGCATATATATTGGCGCTCTCTTGTACCAATATTTATGTGTTCAAATAAAAAAAAACCTGGACGGCACCATCGATAAACGAGAAGGATCAGGTGCAGACGCAAGGGTAAGAATTAGCAAAGCAAGGACAGATTTCCTACAGTTGAATAACATACGGGACTGGAAACAACTGCCGACCAATGTCGAAATCATGATCTTCAATACGAACGACAAGGCAGTTCTACTCTACAGAGCTGAAAGTTGGAGAACTACTACAACCATCATCGAAAAGGTGCAAGTATTTATAAATAGCTGTCTACGCAAGATACTGAATGTCCGTTGACCGAATACCATCAGCAACAGCCTACTGTGGGAGAGGACAAACCAGCTTCCAACTGAAGAGAAATGGGAAAAGGCGCTGGAGGTGCATAAGACATACATTGAGAAAATCATCAAACTGCATCGCGAGGCTAGCGCTAACTTAAAATCCTGAATGGAAACGGAAAATAGAAAGACCAAAGAACACAATGTGTCGGGAATCGAAAGCTGACATGAGAAGGATTACTAGCAGCTGGAAAGCATTGTCCAGGACAGAGTTGTATGTAGAATGCTGGTGGGTAACCAATGCTCCTCCAAGAGGGGAAACAGGTGTAAGTGAAAGTAAAGAAAAGTGCTAAGAATATAATGGGAAGCTCGCAGCTAATTCATTTAACTCAGGAAGAAAAAGTATTAATTTTTAAAATTCATCCTTATAAACTAAGTTTAAGCAGTGTGTTGAAGATTTTTAAATGCTTCTTTTTATCCATACATGAAGCTTTTATTGAGACATTGATAATGAATTGTAGTTCAAAAGAACAATCTTGGTATTATGTTGTATTATTTAAGTTGCAGGCTGTATTCGTGAAGATTTCGTCATGTCTTCCCAAATCACATTACCAGTACATATATAGAAAAAGGTTTCAATTTTGCACTGTGATGATTCTGTGTCTCGAGAAATGTTGAAAGTTTCATAAGTGGATCATTTAGCTGTGAGAGTGAAACACTGCCGAAAATGACGAATAATTATCTCTTTTTTGTTGAGAAAACCTTTTTAAATTAAAACATTAGTAATAGTTCTTAATTCTTTATTTCTCTAGAATGCAAGTCTTGATGAATTAACTGATTTTCTTGAATACATACGGAAAAATTCAATAGTTCTTGGTGCATTTGCTATGCGAGAAGCAGCACAAGTATCTGGAATAGATAGTGAAGCACTTTGCGATACCTTGGCAGTTAATGGATACAAAGAAGCACAGGATGTAAGCAAAAAACCAAATAACGAATCACAACAACAAGTGATGTTGAAATCGTTAGTTCACAAAGCATCCGGTTAGTAACTTTTTTAGGCGTTTTTTGTCTACGTTTATTATAATTTTATTTATCGTAGAATAAGGTCTGGTGATGTTGGTCCAGAACGATGGTCAAATGTTTGCAATAAAATTTCCCGACCTGGAGAACACTCCTTTAACAGAAACACATTAGTCATCTCATTCATAAATGTTTGTTACGCAATGATCTTCTCATGACACTAATTATTGATCCCCACTTCTTGTCTTATTTTTACTTAGTTAATTTTGTTTTACGGGTTACATAACTATAACATTAATGTCTTGTTCTTAAATAATTCTGTTTCTATTCTCTTAGTTTTGTATTCTACAATATTAATATATTAAACCTGTAAATACTCACATTATTTGGCTTATAAACATTTCTTCTAGTTCTTTTATAATCAATGCTTTTTTCATTAGTCTTCACTGATGAGAAATTTTCCGGTATTATGATATAATATGGTTTGAATAATTTTTTCTGGTTAGCGTTTTTTTAGCGAGTTAGTTTTCTACGGGATGGGGACGCTAACCCCATGCCCAATCCTCCTCCTTTATCCGGGCTTGGGACCGGCAGTAGCCCCCGGAGGGACTCCAGGCGGACGACAAAGTCGTTCAAAGTGAAGACCGGTGTCAAGGCAAGGTTGCTTACTCTCACCCTTTCTCTTTCTCCTGGTGATCGACTGGATCATGAAGACGTCAACGTCTGAAGGAAAGCGCGGGATACAATGGACATCTAAGATGCAGTTGGACGATCTATACTTCGCAGACGATCTGGCCCTTCTATCCCAAACGCAACAACAGATACAGGAGAAGACGAACAGTGTGGCAGCAGCCTCAGCAGCAGTAGGTTTCAATATACACAAAGGGAAAAGCAGGATTCTCCGATACAATCCAATCACAATTGACGGAGAAGATTTGGAAGATGTAAAAACCTTTACGTATTTGGGCAGCATTATTGATGAACAGGGTGGATCTGATGCAGATGTGAAGGCGCGGATCGGTAAAGCAAGAGCAGCATATTTACAACTGAAGAACATCTGGAGCTCAAATCAACTGTCAACCAACACCAAGGTCAGGATTTTCAATACAAATGTCAAGACAGTTCTACTGTATGGGGCAGAAACCTGGAGAACTACAAAAGCCATCATCCAGAAAATACAGGTGTTTATTAACAGTTGTCTACGCAAAATACTTCAAATCCATTGGCCGGACACTATTAGCAACAACCTACTGTGGGAGAGAGCAAACCAGATCCCAGTGGAGTAAGAAATCAGGAAGAAGCGCTGGAAGTGGATAGGACACACATTGAGGAAAGCACCCAACTGCGTCACAAGACAAGCCCTCACATGGAATCGTGAAGGCCAAAGGAGAAGAGGAAGACCAAAGAACACATTACGCCGAGAAATGGAAATACACATGAAAAAAATGAACAAGAATTGAATGGAACTAGAAAGGAAGGCCCAGGACAGAGTGGATTTGAGAATGCTGGTCGGCGGCCTATGCTCCATCAGGAGTAACAGGCGTAAGTAAGTAAGTAAGTATGATATAATATATGTAAGGTGATTTTTGATGATTAATGTTATTATGTTTAAGTTGTAAGCAGATAACTAGAAACTATAAAATATAGTGATGTAATGTTATTTTGCCACGTTAATTGTTTTTGCTTTAGTCAAATTTATAAATGAGATATATTGTATGAAACAACTGAAATAGCTTAACTTCATTGTGGAGTAAACTTTTTAACAAAAAGTCATTTATTTTGTACCAAACTTCTTCGTAGTTTTGCAGTACTCATGCAAATATCAATATAAAAACTGTCCAATTAGATTTAGTAACTTACAACATGATACGTGGGCATATACATGATAATCGACTGATATTCCTTTTTTTTCAACAATTACTATTTTTTTTGATTGAGATCATGAATCGATGAATGTTAGACAGCCGTTGGAAATCTGGAAGCAATAGATGGGTGTTTCGCGCGCGAACACTTAACCTCTAGAGCACTGAGCCGGCATCCAGCGGTGTTAATGTCTAACTTCCATCGATCTATGAATGGCTGCGCAACCATTCGTCCATTGACTGAGGTAAATACCTGTCTCTAACCGACACAGATGGAACTCCACTGGTTATGGCTTTTCACTAGAACTCCAGAAAATCATCTTGAAGTTAGTCACTAGTGAGACTGAAGGTCCTGTGTTCAGATCCCTCGTGCGATGTCATGAATACGCACTGCCAAGGAGTTTCATACTAGAACGAAACGGCTGTTCAGTGCTTCCAGGTTTTCATGATCTCAATCAAAAAATTTAACAATCTCCACAACTCCATACTGATAATATTTACCATTTACACATTGTGTAACATATTCGAGTATTCCAGCAATTTCTTAATATCTTGATGAATTAAACTTTTTGTATACATTTTTCTGGTTAGGTTTTCATACATATCATCAATCGTTTGCTGAAATAGTTATTTCACTTGATTATTTGTCAAAGTTAGGCCAATTTTGAGATTCATTTTCGTCATGGAATAATATCAGCTGATACACTTTTAAAGCAAGGGGTCATTAAATAGTTATGATAACCTAGATTGGTACTACACCTTTTTATTGAGTAGACACTATCCAATTATGTATTGAACTCAAGACTGTAGAACTTTAATTTCTTAGAATTTTGTTTAATAAAAGAATATTATCAAAATTTAGTTCTAATTAAAGAGCTGTTTTCATCCTCATACTTCATATACCACATCATGTCATTAAAAGAATCTAGAGCGTTACAAAATTTATATACATACTTATACAAATATATATGTACATACGCACATATCAGTAGTCAACTGTCAGTTACCACCAGCTTTTATATCCTAGTTACCAGCCAGTTATTATAGAACTCAGATGAGGGATTTAAATGATTACAACAAAATTTACGTACATCACACACAACTGTAAATTAGTCTTAATTTTATAGAATGCTCGGTCAGTCACTATTTGAATGAGAAATGTTGCGGAGTTGGACTTCCAATTTCTTTGAATCCAGGCCAAATATTTTTAATAAACGTTAAATATCCCTATTTCCTGAATTGTACCTCAAAACTAAGTTGATAAGCTCGCACTTAGTGACTGATTCACTCCAATTCATATCAATATTCGGACTCGCACATAATGTCGTTTAATTCTATCGCATTAAATGTATGTATTTGCATAAGTAATTTATTGTACAGCTTATCGTTTTTCTTATGTTATATGTTGCCCACTGATGTATTGTCACACCTATATATGCTCCTTGCTCACTGACTCATTCACCCAATCTCTCTTTATCACTGTTTCCTTATTCAGTTAATACGAATACTGATAGTTTAGATAATGAATTAGAAATGTTAACTCAAATTGTTACAAATAAAAATCATCCATGGATTACCAATGATGATCATGGTGAAACAGAAATGACAATAAAAACTCAAATAAATGTTAATAATGACGGTGATTGTTGTAATCGAACATATTCAAAAGTGGAGGATTTAGTCGATTTCGGACCAGTATATCGATGTTTGCATATTCATTCTGTATTGAATGAACGAGCGGAATTTGAACGACATTATTGTACTCAACGACGAAAACAGTGTCAATTAATTTTGAGTTTATCACCAAATCAACAAGTAAGTCGTTACTTTTATTGTGTACACTTATTATTGATATTGATAATATTATAATTATTTATATTAGTATGTTATTTTATATGCAAATCAATTAATACAAAGGACAGTCAGTTAAATGAAGGGAACACTCTTCAACAAGTTCGTTTTTGAAGATGTACACTCGTGTTTATTTATTTCAAATTACGATTTTAAATATAGTTAGTAAAGTAAAATGTAAGGGATCAATTGTGTCTTCTATTCCGAAATTTTTAATAGATCCCGGATATGTCGACACAAATCTACCCATCGATATAATTTTAAATTCATTTGAAGATTTTTAGAAATTTACTACTTTTCAATTGCAAAATTATAAAGATTGTTTAAGCTAGAATTCTTTGAGATGATGGAGAAGATTTGTAGCTCAGGTGAATAATTTTGATGGAGTTTTGTTCTCTAAGCTGGATGGTCTGGTCGTGGAGCTTTCATCGTTATTCTGAAAGATATCATTAGCACAAACTTCAATTAGAATGAAGTGTTCAAATTTCTCCACATGTGGCTCACAGTTTGTCCTGTAGATTTTGATGTTGATTGGCTATTGTTGACCTTTAAACTGTCATTGTTTGCTTTATTTTGATTGTATCTCCCATTGATTTGATTCTTGGTCCTATATTTGTCCATAATTTTTCTGATTGGTTGATAAATTGAATCGATTTCAATGTGTTTGTTGGTTGGTGATTGACCTGAGTGCTAAGCTTCTAAAACTTCTGGTGTTTTTAGAATTCCCTTTACCCGAGATCTCAACATTCTTCCAGTCGAATGTGTGTCCACAGTTGTCCACATGCATTGATATAAGTGAGGATATGTCATGGCGTTTGACTGCTAATTGATGTTCATGCAGGCAAAGATGAATTGCGCGTCCACTTTGTCCAATGTAATGTTTTTCATACTTGTAACAATTTACTTTGTAGATGATGTTTGGTTTTTCTTCTTTTTTCACTTCGTCCTTTGGTTTGCATAGGGTTGATTGAAGTGGTTTTGTTGGTTTGTGTGCTACACCTGTTCCAAAAGGCTTCAACAATCTCGTAATTTCTAATATGCCTTTTACATATGGTTCGATGATCTGTTTGTTGGTTTTTGTACCTGATTTTGTTTCCGCTGATGCGTTCGGTTGGTATTTTTTGACGAAGTTTGTTGAGTAGCCGTTCTTTTAAAAGGTAGTCTTTATATAATTTTCCGCTCTGCTAGTGTGTTGCAGTGTGTCCTCACCTTCTTGAACAAAGTTTGTACGCGATTGATTTTGTAAGCTCTTGGGTTGTTGCTACTGTAATTAAGAATTTGGTCTATGTGGGTCGGTTTCCGATATACTTGAGTCTCCAGTTTTCCTGTATTGGTTCTGGTGATTAATTATCCAAGAATGATAGTTTGCTGTTTGACTCTTGTTCCATTGTGAGCTTGATATCATCAAAGACGTTGTTGATCAGGTTGTAGGTGTTTTCCAGCTCATCCTTTTTGACAATAACGAATGTGTCGTCCACATAACCAATCCAAAGTTTTGGCTTGATCACTGGTCATGTCGAGGTTTCCAGTCTCTTCATCACTGCTTCTGCAATAAGTCTTGATATTAGTAGTCCCATCGGTGTTCTTTTCGTTCGTTCGTAGATTTTGTTGTTGAATTGAAAATATATTGTTAAGTATAAATCGATGAGTTCTAGGGGACCTTGACTTTGAAGCTTCGTGTACTTTGGGGGATTTGTGTCGTTGATCAGAAGCAGGGATAGAGTTTCTTTTGCTAAGCTTGGTTCAATTGTAGTGAATAAGGCTGTTACTTTGGAGGATATAATCAGTTCGTCGTTGTTAATTTGAATGTCTTTAATCTTGTCTCGGAATTGTATGGGAGATTTGACGGAGTGAGTGGATGAATCCAATAAATGTTTCAATATTCGTGAAATTTCTCTTGACAAATTGTGTTACAATTTTATGAATTTTATCATATTCTAAACTTTTCATGAACACAAGGCTGTCGATTTCACTCTAAGTGGAAAACTCGTTGAGTTTGTGACTGTTTATCAACTAAGGGGATTACTATATATATTACGTATGCCTAAGCAACCATTATTTACTTCGATGGACAGTGTTAGTTAACTGGTATGGAAATAGGTTCAAAGAAAGCTTATGAGGCCGACCAACGAAAACGTAATACTAGTCCATGGAATTATTAACTGTTGGTCTGGTCTACGTCGATAAATGAATATTATCCGACTTTAGTCCACATAATAATTACAATCATTGTTCGGAGACATTGTGTGACATGGCTCATAATAGATTACAATATCACAGATGCATTCCTTACTTACATCGCTCTATATCTTGAGTTTTAGCATGCCCTTATACGTACCTTCTCATTCTGTCGTTTACAACCATATTCTCGAAATTTACCCTTATCATCATAGTGAATAAATTATTTGTTTTTTGTTATTCGATTTGTTGATTCCATATCGTCTTGCTAATGTGATATGATAAGCATGGCTAACAAATATTTGTGTCATGATCTACGTTGTTTATGATTGATTGACTGACCAAATGATTGATGTAGCTTTGTGTGGAGGGGAAAATGGCGGAATCACATATTCGTTTATTCTATTGGATTAGTTCATTTTTTACAATTTTAAATCTCCACAAATCCCCTATACTAAGTTCACTTTTGATTATCATAAGAAAAATTATAATTCGTTTTGTGTAGTTATTTTCTTGTAAGCTTTATCAAAAATGAAAAAAAAAGTCTAGATCCCAGTTGCATTATTGTTTTATTTTCTTTGATTTCTTAGAGATACTGTTGTTGTATAGTTCATTGTTTGATCATCTTTATCCTTTCCTTTATCAATATCTTCATTTTGAACAGTAGTGGTATTCATGATTCTATAAATATTGAATCGTTGAGCGCTCTGTATTTCAGTTTAAATGAGAAAACTAAAACTTTCTAGGATATGTATAATTCATTTAGCGGAAAACTACATAGAAAGAAACATTCATCATTGGTCCTATCTATAGTTATTGTCATTATCACTTTCTAGATATAAATATAATCTCATATTTTATCTTGCAATTATAATTACTTTTAGTTAAAATGTGATAAAAAATTTCTTTCTAACAAGCTCACAATTCAATAATTTACTGAGAATTAATCAACTGAAGGTCATTTATTGGTACTATGCGTTTGTGTGTACTCAGTTCAATGGTGATCTTACATTAAAACACTAATAAAAACTAGCGTGTGAATCATATTTCATTGGTATCTTATAGTGCATTGTGTTTTGTAATGAATAATTTAGAATGCATCACATGTATAATAATAATAATAATAATAATAATAATAATAATAATAATAATAATAATAATAATAATAATAATAATAATAATAATAATAACCACACTACACTTCTGAAAGTGAAATTAGTTTATACAAAAATAAGCCGATTCGTATGCTTGATTATGAATATTAGTCTCTGTTATGACCTTGGATGTCTGACTTTTCTATCACACGATCTATCTACCAATCCGAGTACGACTTATACGAATCTTCACACTTGGCCAACCAATGACGTTCAACCGGTGTGGGCAGTTTAGCGTCCTTATTGGTCCTATGTCCTACGAGCCCCTCCACTTGAGTCCAGAACAAGATACCAGCTTCTGAATCAGAGCAGATCAGACCAGATCGTTTATTTCAGGCATACTTGGTTTATATATCACTCACACAGACCGCAGCGTACCATAAAATAGGAAATAATATTTGTACACAAATAAGCCCCAAAAGTGGCTGTGAATGTGGGAGGCAGTAGTTAATAAACTGAACATAACTTAAGAACCGTAAATGGTACAATAATAAATTATAGGCCAAAATAAAGCTTATCATAAAAGGGATATAAATATACATAGTGTAATTGTTGAGTAGTTATACAATAAGAATATTTATAGAATATTAGTCCATGAATAGTTCTCGGAAGTTACCTGTTATTTAATCTTCACCGGATATAACAGTCTCGATGGTGATTTTGTTTATTTTTAAGTACTTTTTTCTCTCAAAAAGAAGTGTATTACGTTTTATAATTCAGCTGCTTGTTGATAAAGAATATTTTTCGTGAAAATGGTTTGTTTTTCCCCCTAACATATAGGTAGGTGTGTGACGATGATGATGACTATCAGCTATCTAGTGTATTGTACATTAATTTTCACATTTCAGATTAGCATCAGTCTATCTTGTTATGATATATAGTTGATGAATAAATTATGGATTCCATTAAAATCTGAGCACCAGATATCGGAATTCTACTGGGAAGTAAAAATGGTGAAGCAGAGCACTAGACAACTTTCTGGAACTATTTATCAGTACTCATTCATTAGGGATTGTAAGCAGAAATTTCAGATCTCTCAGCAAACGCTAAACTATTAAAATCAGTAAGTCGGTGTCTGCTGGTACAGCAGCGGTCGCTCGATCCTAGTGATGACAACTGTTTCACTCCCGATGTGTCTGAAATTTTCAGCTAACGACATCTCGCCAAATTTTTAGAAATATATTGAGGCAAGTTATTAGTGAGCTGGCTATCATAGAATAGAATTTATTGGTTTCATTTAAAACGGACTGGTCCTTGTTGATATATCGATAAAAGCGAATATTTATTTGTGGTTTTAGAAGTTTAGGCTTTATAAGAAGAGTTTACTGTATCATTAAAGATGTATATAATGTATAAATACAAAAGCCTGTAAACTGCTTACTTGTTCAAGTGCATATAATGTGTTGATTTCTTTTTCGCTTGCTAAAATTTTGCTCTCAAACAATTTATATTATTAGCAATAATCCACTTGTGTTACGTATATCCAATTAATGCCTACCTCAGTAGGTAATATTTTCTGTTGCACTAGTAGGCTGAAAGAAAACTAGTGACGGTCACATCAAGACATGGTACCAATATGTGAAGTGATTGACAATTGTATTGAGTCATGTGAATAGCTATCGACTACCTACT